CGATGATTTACTTCTCTCTCTCTCTCTCTCTCTCTCTCTCTGTGAAAGGAGGGGGAGGGGGGAGGGAGTCTCTCTCGAAACCACTGTCCGTGACTTAACTCGTCTCTAAACGGTGCCATTACCACCATAAGCGAAGTGTCACCGTGGCATGGATGATAACGCCAACCAATCCCCTTCGTCCTTTCTTCTTTGTCCCCCTTGCTTTGTCGATTCCCCCCTCCGCGGAATTAGCTTTAGTGGTTTCGAACGCGGTCGATATCGCTGTTACATCTTTTTCGTTCGATTCGATTTTAAAAGTTATTTTTCTTTCATTCTTAAAGATGGGTAAATATATATAAATTCCTCCTCTTTAAGTAGGAATGTTCTTTCGATTTTGAATATATTGAAATTTGAAATTTTATTTAACTATAACTTTGATACCAGTACTATTAGTTTTTCGTTCGAAAAAAGTTGATTAACACAGCTGAGAAATTAAATTAAGAATATTCTAAAATAACGTTTCCCTTCGACGAAAATGTTTTTTATTTTCTATATATGTAATGTACGCGTGATTCCGTGTTAATATTTCGAAGAATCGAGAAACGAAAAAGCCGTACCTATCGTATTTAACTTGCAAAATAGGGATAATGTTTGTTTCGTTTCGTTTTTTATCCACATCGACCGTGTCCGTGCCCGTTAAAATGATATTTTTGACACGGAATAAATTCTTTCATTTTTTTTTTAATTTCCACACCGGTCGTAATAATGCACGTTTCGAGCGAGTAATAACACATGATAATTTATATGTTTATTGTTCATTGTTCTCGAAATAGAGATTTTATTGTTCTCGAAACGAGACGCAGTTCCTGTTGGACGTCGCGACGCGATTCCCGTGTTAGCTCACCTTTAACGCGTCTACCTGGCCGAGTTAGGAGACGAATCGTTAGGTTAGTGAACCCGTTGGCATTATTATTGCAACCGGATCCAACCTACCATTAAACAACGAGGCAACGGCGCGACGCGACGTGTTGTTCCACAACGAACTGTCCAGCGTACGAATCACGTTCCCTTTAGCGAAACAACGATCGACGTTCTCATTTACAGTTCGGATCATGGGCTCGGATTAATCCTATATAGGCGACGCGATTAGTAAGATCGTCCTGCGGCGATACCGTTCGATTGAAATTATTATTTCTTTTTTATTAATTTTTCTCCTCTCGTTTGTTTATTATTATTATTGCAACGTGAACGTAAAAAGTTTTTTTAAAAGTTTTTAGAAAAGAAATTCGATCGATGTGAAAACTCGCATCGTTCGATTCTTTTTATTCTATCCATCGTTCTAAGCAATGTATATTTTGGCAAAAAAAAAATTAATTCCAAAATATCTTTCGTTGTTCCGCTCCATCCTTGTAATTTTTCATTTGATCTTTCTATTAATATTTATGAAGGATAGTTTGTAAATTTTGTTGAATCGGTTGAATTCTTTTTTTTTTTTTTACTTTTTTTTATATTCGTTTGTCATGTTTTTAAAATGTTAATTAATTTACAGGAAATAGTTTATAAAAATTTTATTTTCTAACGTATTACTTCCTGTCTTTCTTTTTTCCTTCCTCTAATTATTCCATCGAAAGAACGATAATTCTAACGTTATTACGTACAAATATATTCGAGAAAAAATACTTTTACACCGCACGAAGCTAACCTTTCGCTTTTAACATTTCAGGTACGTAAGGCGGAGCGATTCCCTTTTTACTCATCTCGTCTATCGGTAAGTCCATTTTTACAATGACGCCGGCGTAGTTAATCTAACGAGCCTGGCGCGTTCCGATACTTTCAGCGAAAGAGGTGCTCAAGGCGTGAGAAACACTCAAGTCGAATCAAATTGAATGGAACTTTACCGTTCCCATCGCGTTGCTCGAACAATTTTAGCTCCTCTCTGGTCGCGGATTCCGCCGCCGTTCTCGTCCCCCTTTTTTTGCGCCGTTTCAAACCCGCCTTTCCTCTTTCGCTAAATAATAATAATAATAATAATAATAATAATAATAATAATAATAGGCATCTATTACGTTCGAATCAAAATTCAATTCATTCCTTTCTCGATCTTGAAAAGGTTTCCACTGCTTTCTCTTCTTCAATATATAATATGATACCAGGAGTAAATTGAGAATTATAGAAAATAGTGAAATATTTCCTTGTTGAACTTTCTTCGCAAGAACGCAGGATCTTGCGGATTTTTACGGAGGAAGAAGAAGCGCAGATATATTTCTATATCGATTTATTTTGAAATCAAGGAAGGAAGGTCGATCGGAGAGATTCATTTTCACGCGTGAATTTGACGAATTCGAATTGGAAAAGAGTGATCTTGACTTACTTTTTTAAAGTCGAATATCGAAATATATTCAAAATTCCGCGCATCCTCGAATCGACTCAACAAGTTATTACAAGATATTTCAACCAAGGGGGGCAATGTACGATAAATATCGATCTGTGCCAAACACTTTTTTTTCGCAAATTCTCGAAAATTTTCGAAAACGAAGAGGAAAGAGACGAAAGGAACGAAAACATATTCCACATAATTTCCAGTTACGGAAGAAATTAATGCAGAATAAATGGAAGCTGTGAGAGAGCGGGGATTGTTAAATGCAGTCGAGGCAGCACCGTGTCGTATCACCTTTTAGCAAGACGAGGGGATCGATGGTGCTCGAACGACAGCCGAGATATCGCACCTTTCAAACCCCTCCCCTTCGGCGTCCCTTTTGCCTCGCGGCACCCACCTGTCCCACCGCCCCCGTCCCTTGTCTCCAGCCTTGGCTACCCACTTGACGACAATGCACCACCCACCCCACCCGGCTATTTTCCGGAATCCGGAATGCCGTCGATAAAATATTAAGGGCGGCGATATGTAGGCCAGCCACGACGCCTTGTAAATGAAGATCCGCTCGATTTCGTTCGAATTCTTCTTCCACGTCTTCTCTAATAAGGGAGGGAGAGGACGTATGTATCGCTGTCCTCGTCGTGCACGGGTTGCGTGGATCGATGGTGGAGAATTCTTGGACCTCGTACGTGGAATACGTGGGATATGTTTCGTTATATCAGCGTAGAATATTATGGTAGAAATGTTATCTTATTTTAAGGGATGAAAAATTCTTGAGGAAATTTTTGAGGGAAGATTTCGTGTCGAATCAGGTAACGAAATATCTTTTTTTTTTCTTTACGTACGTTATCTCGTGGATAATGAGACGAGAAAATTGAATTTTTTTGGAAAGAGACGGAGTAATTTTTTAATAGCTAGTTAGTAGAAAGTTTATTTGGAGAAAGAATTATAAACATATATGGTATATTATGGTATGTATCTTGGGTGTATTTACGTTGTTCAACGGGGTTAGAGAGTTAAAAAAACGCTTTTCAAACGAAAAAAAAAAAAAAAAAAAGAAGGGTAAACAATTGTGTTAATGTACGTACGTGTAATGTAGAAAAATATTCGTTGGATGCGAAATTTTTACGCAGATAAAAAATGAGCGATTTATTGCAAATTTTGAATCTGCTGCTATATTCATACACGAATATATGAATGTACGGAATAATTTGTTTTTTTGGTAACTACGTAAAATATCAATACACGTTCGATTAAGAAAATAACAATTCAATATTTTATCGTACATCGTCGAAATAACTACTTTCTACGTACGATACTTTTTCGAGAATTAAAAACTTACATATAGATTAAGGAAAAAAAAAGAGAAAAAAGATTTAACCAAAGGTTTTGGCTAATTTAATCATTACAAAATAAATACTATAAATAATATTGCAAAATTTATATCTAGTATAATTTCGTTATGCTAGATAATGAGGATGGACGTTATTACACATTAAGATTGATAGGAAATCGAATCAGGAGGGCGAACTTGTCGCGGTTTCCTGTCTCTATATTCACGAGGATTGCATTCGCGAATAATTTAGCTCAGCCGTTGGAAGGAATATTTGAGCCGTGCTCGTTTCTACAATTTAATTAGATAATGCGTTTCGGATGACTGGTGTTTGCCTTGGTCGAAAATCGAGCGCGCACGATTCATCAAACTTGCAAACGTTGCGAAGATATCGAACCGCGTTTTATCCAATAGTAACAGTAAAGAAAAAAAAAAAAAAAAGAAG